TCCCTGGTCTCTGACTGGTGGTCAGGGACTTTTCTGGGGAGGAAAGTGGTGGGTGGGTGTGGGGAACTGGCTCTGTTACAGCTGTCGCCTCATATTTTTCTCTCTTTCCTTTCTGTGTTCTAAGCTGTGTCCTACAGGATTGAGCACAACCTACACTTGATGAAAATATCTGCATTCATTTATAAAATTTTAAATATAAAATGAGAAATCAGGCTAAGAGAAAAAGCACATATGCTCATGCTCTATACCACATGATTTCTGCAATTATCAGCGTCCTGGGCATTTGTTTCGGTGCATGTTTCCTGGTACTGGTGTGAGATGCATTTTACTTAGGAATGCTAAGGGAGGAAAATCCTATAATATAAAACTCTCTTTCCTTCTTGTAGTTTTGTTCACAATGTACTTTTTTTTTTATTTGAGGAATCACTGCAGCAAGCTGTAACTGATGTATGTAGTGACAACTCACCGCATATAAAGAGAAAGAGCACCGAGCAATGACTGCTGCGATTCACTGTTTCTTGTAAGATTTAGTTTATTCTAAGCTCCGGAAACCCAGCAGGCTCTGAACTGTCAACACAGTGAGACAAAACCCAAACCAAAGTGCATTTAATGTGTTCATTTCTTTTTTCTTTCCTTTCAATACATTTCCAGTTGAGCAATCAGTTGCAGGCCCCAGGGTGCATTGCATGCCTGTTGCCCTAGGTATGCAAAGTGCTGGGATCAGGATTGGCTCAGGAGGTGGAAATAAAATTGCAGCCTTCCGGTCTCTCTCCCCACATCCTTACCATCGGCAAGTGAAATTCACTTACAAGGAAACTATAAAGTGTGTTGGGGATAGAGGGATGGTACGCATGCCATGTGTGTGTTTTAAGTGGAATGAGAAGTAGTTGGCCTCAATCATGAAGCAGGCCTCATGCCAGGTGCCCCCGTCTCTTGCTGGGCAGAGGGGAAATGCTTATATCCGGGATCAATGAGCTGTTCACCAAGACACCATTGTTCTGGGACATGCTTGGAAGGGAACAGCGATGACATCAGACACAGAGAAAGGTTTGGGAACAGACATATCTAGAAGAACATTCTCCTAAGAGTGAGCAAGTATTTGTTAGCTTTTTTTTTTTTAAGGGTATATTGACTTCAAACACCAGGGGCAGTGTTTTAACTTAGAAATGTGTACTTACACTTCATTACCATTACTTTGTAGGAAACACCTGGTGTGGGTGTGAAATTTCCTAAGACACAGTGGGTGAAGAATGTCTTTTTCCTTTACCTGGTACTGTGAAGCCAACTGACCCCTTCTTGTAAAGATCAACCACAGAAACACCATCAACTCACATGTGATGTGACACCATCGCAGGTCAGTATCTCACAGCTCTAGTAGCTGGACTGGGAGCTAAATGTTGTTTTCCTGGAGCTTTTACTTACTAGTTGTTCACAAATATTTTTGGAGAGGGGAGAGGTTTGGGGATATCTGAAGGAAGGCAAACGTTTGGATTTCATGGCTGCATAAATGGAGTTAGGGTGAGTGTATGTGGGTGTGAATCTCTGACTTACACTACAACCCAGGAGACCTAGTCTAGCCTCTAAACACTTGTGAATCCAGCCATCTTCAGCCTTTCAGCCCTTATTTCAGGATCTGAGAATTAAAGACATATTTCTGTGTTCAATAAGTGTAATATAATTTATTCCTATAAATACTTTATTTGCATAATAGTTTTGGTTTGTAAACGAACACCTGAAAGGCTGTATGTTTGCCAGGCCATGTCCCTGCCACCCATGTAAACTGCTAGCAGAGATGGTGCTACCTGGGTTATGGCATTTCTGTTGGAATTAACTTTAAAAATCAGATTAATGATTCCCTCTGCAGAGTTATAACTCTCATTAAAAACTAAAATCTATATTTAAACATCTAAACATAGTAATTAATTAACCATAATATTTATACATATAATGAATAATTTAAAATATTTTTAAAAAGTAAGAATGCATAAGGCTTTTAAAAATTAAATTTAAATTTATATCATACTCTTGCATTCATGTCATATTAATTTTCCCTTTTTCTTCATTATATTAGGTTAGCTAATATTTTAAGTTTGAAATATGCCAAAACTCAAGCTAAAGTCACATTTCTGTCTCTCTCTTTAATAGGAAATCTTTAGGCCTCTTCTCATAATTTCAAGGAAAATGTCAGCTTTACAGTACAAAAAGCCCTCTGAATGGTCAATTAGATTTCTGGTAGCTGCCATTCCACAATCTTACCTCACTGCCTCTTATCATCTAATTTTTGTTCAACTTTGGTAATTTTTTTTTTTTGCTTTTAAGCTAAACTTTGGTAATCTTTTATTGCTTTTTGTTTTAAATGGTCACCTATTAGACATCTCTAAGTGAAGACTAAATACTTAGGCCATCTACTAAATTGTTTTTCCTCTTTTAAAAAAATAAGTTTAGTTGATACAACAGAAATATTGATCTAAAATTAGAAAAAATATATGTTTATATACCCACAGCCCTAATTAAAACTTCTGTCACCTGGACCCTGAATTATCATAAGAGCTCCCTATCCTGAACTGTGATGATGGTAACAAATATGTCTGAAGGGCTTACTATATACCAGATACTACGGATCCCTCTTGCAATCTGGGGCCACTGGCTCCTAACTGCTTGCCTGCCTGCCTGCCTGCCTGATAGCCCCTAACTTGCTCCCCTGCCAGACTGATCACTCCAATCGCCTCTGCCTCGGCCCCCAGCCTAAGCCTCAGTCTGGCCTCCCTCTGCAGGAGGCGATCTGGCGGATCAGGGGAAGGTGCTGCCCCTATTACCCCACTGCTGCTGCCACTGCCAGCCTGAGCCTGGGCCCTTCCCAGCCGTGCCTCAGCACTTCACAGCCTCACATCCTTCAGCCTCACCATGCACACAGCCCCGCCCACCTGCCACACATGGAGCCTCCTGCTGATTGGTCATTACACTTGAGGGTGGGATGACCATTTGCATATTGTTTTTTTTATTATATAGGATATTCTCAGATAAACCCTTTGAAAGTCAACAGGTTACTATCCCCATTTTAAAGATGAGGAACCTGAAACTTAAAGAGGCTTAGAAAATTGGCCAAGGCCATGGCAGTATTAAAGTCTGAAATACCTTCAGATCTCTGGTCTTAGCCCCTGGTCATTAATCTAGCTGTGGAGTTCCTCAATTCTCCACACAAATCATTAGGAAACAATATACAGATTTCTGACAAATAGAGAGGCAGAGAAGAGCTTACACTATAAATCAATAACAAATAACCTAAAAATGCAATTGCATATTATGTTCTCTAAAATCCCTTTTGGCAATCTGATTCAGTAAACTACATGTCTCTGTGTTAGCGCCACCCCCATCCAGCTCTCCTCACCAGCAATTGTCTGAAGTTTCAATTCCCTGCAAACTTTGAGCTCTCTTTCCAAAATTGTACAGTACATTCAGGTCTTTTCAGCTCTTGCTCTCCCAGTAGCCTACAAAACTATCCAGGTCCTGTTTAGCTGCAACCTGATTTCCCCAGAATAAAGCCTACATCCTCAGAAAGTATAATAATGGTATAGAGTGAGAAACAACATGTTTCTATTAGAATTCATTTATATATAGTTACAAAGCCTTTGTAATCATCTTCTGCTCAATATATAGATTTAATGCAACCCCCATTTAATGTCAAAATCCTAATGATATTTTTTCTAAGAAATAGAACAAAGCCCTCGCTGGTTTGGCTCAGTGAATAGAGTGTCAACCTGAGGACTAAAGGGTCCCAGGTTCAATTCTGATCAAGGGCACATGCCCGGGTTGCGGGCTTGATCATCAGTGGGGAGCGTGCAGGAGGCAGCCAATCAATGATTCTCTCTCAGCATTGATGTTTCTATCTCTTTCTCCCTCTCCCTTCCTCTCTGAAATCAATAAAAATATATTAAAAAAAGAAATAGAACAAAATATCCACAAATTTGTATAGAACTACAAAAGACCCTGGATAGCCAAAACAATCCTGAGAAAAGAGAACAAAGCCAGAGGAATCACACACCCATACTTCAAATTATACTACAAAGGCACAATAATAAAAAAAATTATGCTATTGTCAGAAAAACAGACACACAGACCAGAACAGAATTGAAAGCCCAGAAACAAACCCACATGGATATGGGCATTAATTTTTCAACAAAGGAGCCAAAAACATACAATGGAAAGAGGAATGTCTCTCCAAAAATGGTGTTGGGAGAACTAGAAAGCCATATGCAAAAGAATAAAACTAGACTTCTATTTGATGCGTTACATAAAAATTAACTTAAAATTAATAAAAGACTTAAATATAAGTTCTGAAACAATAAAATACATAGATGAAAACATAGGTACTAAACTCAAGAATGTTGGTCTCAGAGAGGCCAAATGGGGGAAGATATTTGCAAACAATGCCTCTGATAAGGAGCTAAGATCCAAAATATATAAATAATTCATATAATTCAATAACAAAAAATACATAATCAAATTTTAAAATGAGCAGAGGACCTGAACAGATGCTTTTCCCAAGAAGACTTACAAATGGCCAGCAGATATATGAAGATTTGCTCAATGTCACTAGCTATAAGGGAAATGTAAATCAAAATCACAATGAGATACCACCTCACACCTGTTAGAAAGACTATTATCAAGAAGATTAGAGATAATAAGTGATGGAGAGGATGTGGAGAAAAATAAATCCTCATACACTGCTGTTGTATGTAAACTGGTAAACAATATGGAGTTTCCTAAAAAATAAAGACTAGATCTACTACATAATCTAGCAACCCCTCATCTGGGTATCTATCTAAAAATTTTTGAAAACATTTATTCATAAAGATATATGCACCCCTATGTTCAGTGCAGCATTATTCATGGTAGCCAATATATGGAAACGATCAAAGTCCTTCAATGGATAATTGCATTAGGAAGATGGGGTACATATATACAAAGGAATACTACTCAGACATCAGAAAGGATGAAATATTGCCATTTGCAACAACATGGATAAATCTTGAGAGTATCATGCTAAGTGAAATAAGTCAGACAAAAGGACAAGAACCATATAATTTCAGTCATATGCAGGATATAAAACAGAAAGGTACAAACAAAATAAACAAAAACATAGACACAGATAACAGTTATGCAGTTTAACAGAGGGGAAGGGAGGTGGAGGAAGGATGAAGAGGTAAAGGAGATTAAATATATGGTGATGGAGACTAGAATTTGGGTGGTGAGCACACAATGCAATACACAGATGACACATCATAGAATTGTACACTTGAAACACATAATAATATTTACCAATGTTATCTCAATGTATATATGGAATTCAAAATTATCACCTACTGATATTCCATAATTAATAAATTATTCTTTGATTGTTGAATATTTTGGTGTTTTTTAGTGTGTTGGTTTTTTTTTTTTTTTTGGTCATTTTATTTGTTTCTGTTTTGTTTCAGATAACACCACACAATCATTTTTATTCATTTGGACTTTGCTTTTGTTGAAATATTTCTGCAAGATAAATTCCCAGGAGAGAGATTACTAGGTCAAAGGATATGAATATCTTTGTGTTGCTTATTTTCCAAATAGGTTTTATCAGTTAACAGAACTCTCAGTTGTTTGTAAGTTAAAAGCCATACTAAAATGTTGTCAACATTATTTCTGTTTTACTACAATGCAAAAGGATAAAAATATTTTTTCTGATATATTTGTTTTCTATTTGTATTTTCTTTAGTGTGAATGCTCTGTCCACACACTTGGATCATTGCCTCTATGGAAAACATTTTTCTTTGTTTTGTCTTTGGATTTGAATACCACTTGCACACAAAAACCATTAACATTTGCCGGCTATACTTGATGCAGATATTTTAATTTGTTATACTAGTTTTTGTCTTAGTAAAGTTTTGCATTCCAAGTATATATTAAATACACTTTGCATCAGTCAGTCTTTTCCTATGTGATTGGTTTTTTTGTTTGTTTTTTGCTTTGGAGCTGAGAAATCCATTTCTTTCGGAGATCAGATAACAATTTTATTTTCTCCTTTAAAACAATAGTCTCATGTTTATCTCTTTCACAGGCTTGGGTTATGTTTTGAAGTCTGAAATTGATATTCAGTGTTGAGATAGGTTTTCACTTTTCCTAATTCTCAAAAAGACTTTTTGTCAAGGACAAATTTTATTTTCACGACAGGAGTTGCCTGAAGGGCTTTGTGCTAGGAGGAGGGTGGAAACTATGGTTTCTGGGAGGGATGGAGCCAAGAAGAGAAGAGCAGTGAAAGGAGGAACCCAGGAGGCCTGCTGGAAGGGTGGAAGGCAAAGTATCCCCTTCACTTGG